GTTTTTTCAATTAACTTTTACTTTAAACAAAATGTAAATGTTTTGTTGTTAAGTGTAAACTGTTTCTAAGTCACAATTGTTGCTTCATATGACAAATGTATTCAAGTTGAATATGTTTAAACTAAATTTTTAACTCCATAATTAAATCAGACCATTAAATATTAGTGATATCTCCGTGTCCTTGAATCATATACCTTTCATAAGTCAGAATTTTGAATTGGTTTATTTTAAAATAAAACAGTTACAAATGTACTGTGATGCAAAGTTAAAAAAAGGTAGAATTATCTAATAATTTTGTCACAACAGAAATATTAATTTAAGGTAAGACCCACAAAGAACATTAAGATCAGTGTGAGAAATCACAACCTACAAATTGCACCATTTCTTTAACTTATTAGAGAATAAAATCTAATGTTCACATAAAACAATATTTTCTAGCATAATCTTGATGGAGCGTTTAAAGTAATTGTAATTTTGTATACAACTGAAAATGTTTTTGGGATCTAAGAATATCAAATATCTGTTTTATGATGTGTTAAATATACTATATTAGTTTTATAATGTTTCAGGGGGATTTGCCAAAGTCAAACTTGGGACACATGTGTTAACAGGAGATAAAGTTGCCATAAAGATAATGGACAAAAGACTACTGGGAGTAAGACCCTGACTTTCAATCTTATTTGCTTTTTTCAAGTGTTGTCACATCTACATTCTTTGTGAATGAGTGATTGCATGTAGAACAGTTGAATTTTGATGTAGAAAATTTCTTAAGAATGTACAAAGATCAAAATCATGTAGGAACAACTGTTAACTGTTAAACTAAAGGAAAACCAATTTATCTGAATAAAATATGAAGAATATTTTACTTATTACAGTATTTTTCCACTTTTGTATAGTGAAGTGTTTAAATGTTTATAGATTTAATGATATTTTTCATTTTATTTTTTAATAGAGATGCACAACTCATTTGTCTGGTACTGGTTTTGTTTTCTTTTAAATTAGTTTAAATAAAAAATTCTTGTTAAAATTGTAAATTCATTTGCTATTATTTCACTATTTTTTCCAAAATTCCAAAGTATTGCACTATAAAGCTGTTACTACAAAAAGTTGAACATTTCTGTGACCTATTCTATATATGGTTATATAAAAAAAAAAAATTAAAGTAACTTTCAGATAAATTGGTATAGTCTGCGTGTGTACTACAAGTAGACTACAATGTTTTTCAATTAAATTATCAATACTAATAATATCTGAACTGGAATTAAAACATGATTTAGAAAAAGATTAAACCTAAAACTATTGATTGTAGTTTTGTTTTTATTCATTTTTTCCCCTAAAGATGAGCCCAATTTTTCAGTGTAATAAACTAACATAAGGATAACATTCAATAACTTTTTTGTTTTATGCTTATAAAAACAAAAATGGTTGTATTTTTCTAAAATGCTTCTGAATACTCAAATAATACAAGTTAATTTCACACCTCTTTAGATCACTAAGACACTGAAGTTGACTGAACAGTCACTTATCTTGACATATGACAAAATAAGAATTTTTTATCTTAAATTGTTTATTGAAATAGTTATTAGAAAGTGCATTTCAACACATTTTTTGAAAACAATAATTCACTTATGTAAATTGTGTGCTAGAATATTTGAAGTGATTCTGGTCACCAGCTTAAATCTTGATCTTGGACACCTATTAAGATTTCAGTCAGCCAAGGGTTTGTCATTTGATAATCCATTTACTGTTAGAGTAACTGTATGTAACTTAAGCCTAATTAGTTTTCAGTTTTTGTGAGAAACAGCAGTTGAGCAGTGGTATTTAAATTATTTTGAAACTAAATAAGTTGGTAAATTATTAAAGCTTGCATTAGTATATTTGTGATTTCTGGTAGCCAACCAAGCATAAGTTTTCTGAGCACTAGAAAATTTTATATTCTTAATTTTTATATGAATCATAACATCAATATTTATGTAGTTACATTTTCTGTGCTTTTCTTACTCAGCTGTGTTATTTCCTCACAAGATGGGCTTGGTATGGCCTTGTGGTTAGCGTGCATGGCTGTGTATATGAAAGTCTGTGGGACTGTTCCCATTGTGTTATAAGAGTAACAGTTAAATCCCACTCTTCAGTTAGTGAACCATTTTAGCTGCATTCCCTTTAGTTTATTGGTTCAAAGTTAGGGATATCTAGTGCAGGTAGTTTTGGTGTAGCTTTGTGTGCAAATATCTGAAACAATTAGTTATCTAAAAACGGATGGAAAAATTTGTGGAATAAAAGAAAATGTATAGAAATCCAATAAACTCTTGTTTTTTCATAGTTAAATCTACTTTCATAAATTTAGTTACTCTTCTTAATTATGATTACAAGGTTGATGTGCGAAATGAATGATGACTGAATGTATTAAATATTTTCTTTTAGGACTGAATATCAAAATAACCTTTATTATTCATATAAAGTTATAAATGCTTAGGTTATGCTGTCATCTCATTTGTATACATTATTAGGGATTAATCAGTCTGTTAAAGTACAATTTGAATAAATATGTTATGCAAAGCTTGTTTTGTCTCTCTGGTCTATCTTGTTACTTGAAATAAAAGAAGGAATCTCTTTATATAAAGGTTGTTTAAATTTATGAAGAAACAGGTATACATCCAAGTTAATTTTACTGAAGAATTATTGTTTTATGTTTTTTACGCTTCTTAAGGATGGAGGAACTGAGTAATCTGATAAAATGCATTCACAATTGCTTGTTTCTTAACTTAGAACACACAAAATATGCACTATTTGAATTTGTATTTGACTTTCATTGCAGGAAGACCTTCCAAGAGTTAAGTTAGAGATTGAAGCACTGAAAGAGCTTAGCCATCAACACATATGCAAGTTGTATCAAAAAATAGAGATAGAAAATAAGATATTTTTGATTTTAGAGGTATGATTGATTTCTCCCACTTTGAATATATAGAATCAAGTCAATGGTTTTTATTTTCATTTTGAATGTATGGAAGTTATTTAACTATGTAATTATGCATATGATTGTGCTATTTTGAGTGTACATAAATCACTTAAGTTTAGAATTAAACACACAACTGAGTATTAAAGTTAGTTGGAAAGAAAGTCTATAAAGATGTCCAATACATGTGTATAAGAGCTACACCTAGTCTTACAAAAGTTTGAATTGTTAGTAGCATTACTAAAATTTTAGCAAATTATAAGTATAATAACAGCGACTTGCTCATTATTTAAGCAATTTGCTGTCATTATTACATAAACTATTTGGCTTCCATTGTAGGAAGACCTTTACAGAATTAACACATTTATATTAAGATACTTTGTATCATTTACTTAAGTTTAAAATTAACTCCTTAAACTCGACACTGCTAGCATTTGGCCGAAAAACCCAATTTACCCATCGGATGATGACAGCGTCTGATAACATTTGTTTCTTTGGCTGAAAACTTATCCAAACCATGCTATCATCCACAAAATAACAAAATTGAAATTTTATAAGGTATGGTGATAATTATTGAGAAATCACGAGAATAGTTTTGGCAGAATGTGCAAAAAAATTATTGGTTTAAAGTATTAAATTAATAAGAAACTAGTAAAAACTTTGAAGTTCAAACAAATTTTACCTTGTAGTCTCATGAATGTATATAGGTTTTTAATTTGGATAAATTGGGGAAAAAATTGAAATTTTAACAGAAAGTAGGGATCATTGGTTATTCGCAGAATTGCTGTAAGAAGTATCTAACACAAAATAAATGCTGCAATAAAAATTACACAAACAAGTAAAGTGATAATAGTTGGATGGATTTTAAAATGATTGTGATCTGTATAGCTAAATGAAGCAGCATACCTACCTTCCATTAAAATTTTAATTATTATTTTTTCTTATTTATTTGTTCAGTTTTTATATGTCCATGGAATGGACACAACATCTTCAAACTTTCAGTACCACCATATCCTGATAGCTATAACTTTTACAAGAATTAACCCTTCCATTATGGGTTGGGTGGAATCCACCCAGCTTGTAACCACAAAAGTAATTATACTATGATTTTTGATAATGTATGCACATCTTTAAAAAAATTTTGCAGGTTATTAGTAAACATTACATGGCTTTCAAACACAAAATATCAGGTTTTTAAATTAAGTATTAAGTTTTTTTAATTAAAGATTTTCTCGTACATTTTTTTCTTTCATGATGTTGACTATTCAACATACAAAGTAATTTTGATTTTAAGATTACAAATACTTTTATGCATCAGAACATTTTCATATTTGACATGCTGAATCTTTATAACCTCCAGATAATTATCAAATATTTTTTAGAAAGAACTTTTATCTTTTATTTTCACTACTGTATCTCTGTATGGGTTTGGTCGATTTGATCTGTCTCATAACCACCATAAAAAATTAGGAAATAAATATAAAGTATGCCTTTTACGTTCTAGAATGACTCCAGATTATAACACAAACATAAATGTTTAGACTAAATAGCTTAAATCTCATAACATTGTACATTTATATATATTTATTATTTTTATTATATTGACCTTTCAGCCATACATGGCTAACAATACACAAGTTACAATTATGAGGCACATGTGCACTCGTGTTACCATATCCAATAGCATAAAACTGACCTTTGGTCTTTACAAAATAATTTGTCTTGGCTGTAGTAGACTAGTATTTTGTAAAAAACAGTAACATTTTAATTATTATACATTATACATGTATATAGATTATTGCTATTTTGAAATAAGTTTTTAAACTTATTTTCTTAAAACATAGAACAGTAAAGCAAACAATGATGTCTTCTAGTTATGACCTTTGTACTTGGTTGCTATTTGATGTAGGTTGCTAAGTCTTAAAATTTTGCATGTGAAGGATATTAAACGAAATTATTTTTTTTACATTTTTATATATACATAGTTGAATAATCAAAAAGTCATAAATTACAATATCAATACCATAGAATTCTGCTATAATTTATCAAGCTTAGTAACTAAGCTGTATTTCAGTCCAAAAAAATATGAAATTTCAAGCAAACTAAAGACACAACCTACCTCCTTGACATCTTGGTTTGAAAGAACAAGATGGTATCCTGACACTTGAAAATGACTGAGAAAGGCACTAGGGGGACATTCTGATCTTTCATTTGGTTATTCACATGTCATATACTGAAGTTGTGCATATAAGGGACCATTTCCAAAATGGAAAGAGGTGAGCGGGGCCACTGTGTTTGATTCAGTAAATGAGAAATATCTCAGCAAATAGAAAAGATATGAGGTTCTTATTTTATATTGTAGCTTGTCAATATCAGTAACTAGAGTTCTTAATTCATACGACTTACTGTTGACTTACTATTTTGACATCGCAAACATCTAATTTGAACCAGTGCTGCATTCAGCATACCATGTGACACACAAAAATTGATGTTTAACTATTTTTTTTAATATTTACTTTTAAATTAAGAAATTGAATGATATTTAATATTAAGTTTTGGATTATAATCTACAGTTTAATACCAAACTTACTGACATACATTCATGAAATAGTAGTTCAATAAAATGTTGAATGCGAGTAAACAAACGTGATGACATGGCCTTTGAACTGTGACCCATCTGGAAAGGGTTAAAACCACAGTTACAAACTTATAAAATGTAATCCTCACTTTGGCCTATAGATAAGTGTATAAAACTCTCAACGTAGAGATTAAATTTTATAAATTTGATTTAATTATTGTTTCATTACTTTTTGTAGCAGGATCTCTACTTCATTTTAAAGATAAAAATTTTCTAATACTCTTGTTTGTTTACTTTTTTATGTTATACATCTATGAAGTATATACTTTACCTTAAGCAACTGTTGCTTGTCCATACATTGATACATAGTGCCATCTGTTGGGCCCGGCATGGCCAGGTGGTTAGGGCGCTCGATTCGCAATCTGAGGGTCGTGGGTTCGAATCCCAGTCACACCAAACATACTTGCCCTTCCAGCCATGGGGGCATTATAATGTGATGGTCAGTCCCACTATTTGTTGGTAAAAGAGTAGCCCAGCAGTTGGCGGTGGGTGGTGATGACTAGCTGCCTTCCCTCTAATCTTACACTGCTAAATTAGGGACGGCTAGTGCAGATAGCACTCGTGTAGCTTTGCGCGAAATTCAAAACAAACCAATCAAAAGATATGTTTACCAGTTATAAAAATTTGTGTATAATTATTGGAATATCAAAAGCAGATACCCATAGATCAGTCAAGTAAGTTGGAGAAATGTAGCGATAGTTCAAGCTGTCTAAGCTGACGTGATCATGTAGGTAGGTAGGTTGTAGGCAAAAAAGCTGCTGTTTTAGAAATTTTTGAATTGTTATACTAGAATTGCTAGCAACCTTTTTAGCATATTATTAGTATATATGTGCATAATATATCGTAACCAGTACTTTGAATGGTTGGTTTTTTTCGCCTAGGAATTCAGTAGTGTGGTTTTTCGGCATTTTTCTTAATAATAAGATAGTACAATTATTGGTTTAATTTTAGAAATAGTTGCAAATTTTATGAAGATTATATGTGTGAAGGTGAGCTAGATATAGTGTTTGTGACTTTCAGCTGTGTTGAAATGTTTTATGTAAAATGAATATCTAATTTTGTGTGTTAAGTTCTAAGTCATTAAATACTTTTAGTTTTTAATATTCTTTTTATTTTATTTTTTGAAAGTGGCTTTATATTGGAAATTAGAATTGTAAAGCTATCTTAAAATTTCTTACTTCTTTTATTGCCTTTTTTACTGAGTTGTAAGGTGGTTTAATTTTTTTGTTATTTTGGCTTATTTTTAGTCATGCCTAATATAAATTATTTCCTCAAATAGTATTGTCCTGGAGGAGAACTGTTTGATTACATTGTGGAAAGAGATAGGCTAGAAGAAAAAGAAGCAAGGGTGTTTTTTCGCCAAATAGTGTCTGCGGTAGCTTATATTCATAACAAGGGTTATGCACATCGAGACTTAAAACCAGTATGTTCCTCTATGTGTTTTGACTTATTATTTTCATAATTAAAAGGGAACACTGTACCTTCTGTTATTCCTATTGTAAACTCACTACATTGACTAATTAGTTTTGTATAAATAGGTATTTCATACATTTTTATGATCATTATAACAGCAAGTCTAAATGTTCAGTTTCAGTCGTATCTCAAGTTTTCATGTTTTACATATAAATTTTAAAACTTGTTTCATAACCTACCAACAAAAGGAGTTACTTTCTTCATGGGTTTTTTATCACATCTTAAATTTGAAAAAAAGTTATTAGTCTTATTGATAACCAAAATAAAAATTTTCTGTGAGCAATAAAGACAGAATGTAAGAAAAACTTTATTAAAAAAATCCTTTGATTAAATGAACAAAAATTCTTACATATGAGGCAATTAACAACTATAATTTCTATTACTTGGTGATCTCAAGGAAATGCTCTTATAAAATGAGCACCATCCGTGTATTTTACAACAGTTGTTCATCTTTCATTGCTTAAACTTCATTTCTTGCATTTTTGTGTTCTAGGTGTGATCCACTTAAAATACAGTTGAAAAATGATATTGCTATTTTCCCTTCTAATTTTATAAAAATCCAGGCAATGATTTAATTTTTTTTTAAATACTACTATATTAAACTGCTATTATTTTTACCTGAAAGTAAAATAAAAATTGAATGTCATCACATTTATCATTTCTCAAGATATTCCCATTTTTATCATTTATAGATAAACATGTACTTATACATGATAAAAATACAGTGTGTTTAACATTTGTGGAACTTGGAGCTAGAAAGCTTGCAGAAAGTTTTAACAGCTTCATGCAATCAGAAATTAATCTTCAATTTAGTTTAGCTCTTAAACCTAAGTATAAATTTTGGCAACCAGTATTTGAAGGTGATGTCTCTGAAAATTTGTAGTTCCTAAATATTAATTTTGGTAGATATTTATGTATTACTTACATCTTTGTAAACCTGGCATAGTTTAACTTACTCTTTTATGACCAGGCATTTTATATTTCTAAGAACCATGAATAATTGGGAATTTGCCAAAATATCAAAAGTATATGTTTGATTAATTTATTGTATATTTTTATTCAAGAAAGGCTGTACAAAAAACCATGTATCATTGGATTCAGTATTACAAAAACCCTTATGAAAGTACTCCACAAGGTCCTTGGGAGCTTGATTTTTGAAAGACATCATTTTTTTCATGTTATGATAATAGTGATATCTCAAGGTAAAAAGATGGACAGTTTATAAACTACTTATCATGAAGCCTTTATCAACATAGAATATATGTATTTCTATTAACCTTGTAAAAATTACTTAAATAAATTAGTAATTGCAACATATTTACCATCAAAACTAGAATTTTATGTTTATATATTAAAAGTAACAAATGTGGCTGCTGGAATTTGTAAGAAACAAATAAGTATCAAAATATTTATAAAGATGTCAATTTAGATTATGATGCAGTTTTAATGATCAAGAATAGAGTGAATGGCTGATTCCAGATTATCTCTTATAATGGAAATTCTAGATTTTATAAGCTTTGGGTTATCAGAATTTTTTGAGAGTTACCTATAGGCCCATTGACTTTTACCTTGTGCAGTTCATATCATGTGTACACTCAACTTCTCATGTATTAAAACATATTTCTAACCTTTGCAATGTTGATTCTGTGATATACTGTTTACAAGATATTAACAATTTTATACATAAAGACATTTATGTTATGTTTTGTTTTCTATCTTCAGGAAAATCTTCTCCTAGATGATGAACAGAACTTGAAACTAATAGATTTTGGTCTTTGTGCTAGACCAAAGGTAATTTAAACTTGTTGTTTTTATACAAATATTTCCAAGTGAATTATTGGAATTATCATAGTTATAAATAATAAGTAATCAAACAAACAAAAAAGTCTAAAGAAATAAAAATAATTGTTACCAAAAATATAGAAATTATTTCATTTTTTTTCACATTGGCTTTTAGAAAATAGTTATGCAAAAGAAAATCCAGAAATACAAATTATTATAACAGTGGTTTCGGTATAATCAAAGCTTAAGAAACTTCACACCTCAAAATAGTCAAAATATTGATAAACAAATTTGTTTAAAGAATCTTAACTTGAGGTTGGTCCAAGAAATAATATTTACATATCTTTGTGAATATTTTGGTATTTGCTTGAAATTAAGCCTAATAAATGGTAGTAAATTATACTACACTAGTATTTTCAGAGGTCTTAGTTTTTCGGAAGACCTGAGGTGATACTAGTAATAAGATATACCAGTTGTTATGGTATGAACACCTTTTAAAAGTTGGCAAAGCATGATTATAATTATACTTGTCATACAACATTAGTATTAGGCCTAGTAAATTTTTTAACACTACATTCTTTATTCCTTTAGGGATTTTCAAACACTAGAAGAATGTATAATAATAATATTCCAATGGCACTGTATTTGCCAACTGTGTGTGTGTTTTTTTTGCCCAATCTAATTAACATTATAAGAAAACACCAGCTGTTATTTTAAAAGTAAATATATTTTGTAAAATTCTATTTATATTAAACAACTTTGTTGTAAAATAAACTGCTTTATGTTGAGTTTATTTGTTTGAGATTAAGCAGTAATTTATATCGTAGCAAAAGAAACTAGTGGGAATACATGCTAATAACTCTTGAAACTTTAAGGGAGGTATGGAGACCCACCTGGAAACATGTTGTGGTAGTCCTGCATATGCTGCACCAGAACTGATTAGTGGACAAGAATATTTAGGAAATGAAGTATGTACAAATTGTTTTGTATTATTACAAGCAAAATGTGCTATAGTTAGATAATATTTTCTAATTCAATGGGGTAGTTTTTAAAATTTCATCTTGCCAAAAGACAACCTCAGGATACTTGGAAGTTTGTCATTATTTGATTTAATTGAAAACAATGAAAAATTAAAAAGATTTTCTTCAAATCTTTTATTTTGTTACATATTTGAAATAATTAATGTAGTTTTGGTTTAACTTTTTTGAGAATATTTTACATTTAAATTGTACTTCTCACTAGTGTTTGTAAAAGTTTTTAAATAAATCATGCTGACTTGTAGACGGTAGAGGTTGTTAAAATAAGGAATCCTGATTAACGAGTTTGTATCACCATAGAAAAAGATATACTACATCAGCTGTAATAAAGGAATCACTGCTTAAGAAAGTGAGAAAAATAATTCAAAAGTTAAATAAATCTTGACACAAGCAGACACTAATTATAAGAAATTGATGTTCAAGAAAATATGAATAATGGACCATGTTTAAGAAAACATCAGGCAGACAGCAGTTATAAGAATATGATTTTAACAGGTAGGTAAACAACTGCAGTTTAAACAAGGATTTTTAATTAGGAATTTCAGTTAATGAATACCTTCAAATTATACAGGCTGACATCTGGAGCCTGGGAGTTCTACTGTTTGCCTTGCTATGTGGATATTTGCCATTTGATGATGACAATGTTAGCACTTTATATAAAAAGATTCAAGTAAGTGATTTATAGGTATAATGGTTTGATTGTTAGTACTTTTATTAATTTTTTTATTCCTTTTCTGGAATTTTAATGTGGTATGAATTTTCTAAATATGAATTTAACTTGCTTAAAATTATACAAAATGATTTTCTGAATTATCAAAGCAGAAAATACTTTGTCTTGTTGAAAGATAAAAGGCATTACATGGTCATATAAATTAATACATTCTAATTTTCTAATCTGCTTTATAATTTTTCTTGTTAGTTTTTCATGATTAAATGTCTTTCTTCAAAATATTAAGCTATTTTCATCTAAGTTTCAGAATTAGATCTTGAAAGCTTAATTTGTATTTATTGATAAAACATGTCTGGTAAAATGATTTCTGTAAATGGTTTTTGTGAACAATTGACTTCAAGCCTTTGCAAAAAGTCAAGCTCATCTATGGTGTTTTTTAAAACACGTTTTTCTGAAAGGCAAATTCTTGTGTCTTTCTTCACATGGGGAAATAATATTGGAAGGAAACACTATTAAATGTGCTTAATTTGTGTGTTAGAAGCAATAAATTATTTATATAATATTAACCACATCTTGGATATCTTCATTTTTGACATAAATGAAAGTACTTCAGTTTTATGAGTTTTAATTTATTTGTTTATTTTGGGTAATTGAAAGAAATAAGCAAGATTCACTTACATACATGCTTAAGGTACATTCTTTGCACAAGTTTTGTATGACTTGTTTAATCTGCATTGGTTTAAGTTACTTGTTTCATACATATAATTATTAATGTTTGTTATGGTAAATTTACTACTAATTTAACTGGTTAAAATCACAATTTCTTCTAATCAAGAGACTAAGCTTGACAAATTTTTAGGTTGTCTGGTTGTAGTAATTAAGATTTTTAAAGTACTACTGACATATGAGCTCCACACTTAAAAGTATTATTTCTCCGTTGTGCGTATATAGACTAAGCTATTGTAAGTCAATGTAATTTATTTTGAGATAATTGCATTTTGTTTTAATATCATGATGTTTTCAGCATGGAATTTGTCATTCACCTGCTAAGCTTGTATGCTGATTTATTTTTAGTTATTAAAAGCCGACTAAAATTTAATGAGAACCACTTGAATTTTTTTCTTAGAGTTTTTGATATAACAGTTGGACTTTTTTTATGAAAAAAACAAATTAGTTAATTTTGAAGATATTGAATAACAAACATATTTTAAAAGCATTAAGACTAAAAGCAACTTTTGTGACAGATGAATGGTACTCTACACTTATGTGCATTCCAGCAAAATCTCATCTCTAATGCAATCTTGAGTTACTGAAGATATGTTGTAATTTACTTTTGATAACTAGGATCAGAATAGATAAAGGATTGTTCATAGTTGCTAGGTGCCCTAATTTGTTACCAGTCATGTCACAACTGATTGGTCTGAAGATTAGTATCTTGTACATACTAGTTATAACTAACAACCCTTTCCCCTAATTTGTGCTATGGTCACCAACTGTAATTAATAAGAAATGTGTAACACCTAAGAAGTAAATAGAGTAATAATGCATAATGATACACATCAGTTTAAAACAGTAATTTGGGGCAGAAAAGTATTCACTCAGAATTATCATGAACACTTTCTCTTTGCTGTGAGGAGTCTTTTGCAACCTGCTTAGTTAGCCACTTTGCTCTTTGTAGCAAATTAATTAATGGCTAAGCATTAAGTCACTGCTTAGTGAATTATCATGTGCTACTCTATTCACCTTACATCATATCATTACTAAAGGCTAAACATAACTATCTAATTGCATATAAGTATAAAATTATCTTAATTGTTATTCATTATCCAGTTTATTTTCACATTCGTTGTCCATCGTAGTTACAAGAAAATTCTAAGAAACATTCAGAAAACAATATTACTTTTAAATTATGGCAAAACGTAGTGGATTTGACAGTTATCAAATTTGTTGCCGTTACTAATATTTGAATTTTCCATCCATCATGCTTGTGTGTGTGTAGTGTTTGTTAAATTTTAAGTCCTTTTTGAAAATTTCTGGGGAGTGGCCTTAGATAACAAATCATTCAATACTTTCTTCAATTAAAAATCACTTTAAAACACACAAGTTAGCAAGGGTTAAGATTTATTAATTTTGATCTAGACTTTAGAAATGAAACTTATATTAAAAAAGCAGAGAAAAATATGTAACATAAGCTGAGCAGAAAATATTTCACAACAAATGGTGATTGTTACATGTGATAGAATAGAAAATACCTGCAAAAATATAAGCTCTACATGGTGAAAAATAACAACAACAAGTTGATAGTCTTAAAAGTTTACCTTCAAACATGTATCTGGTGAAATTAAGTTACCTATAATAGGCACTATTATCTCAGTTGTATTTCATTTATTTCCCACCCATTTGTTTTACATTAGGTACAAAATTTAACATAAAATTCCATACTGTATTTGAAACTTTAAACATTACTATCTACCTCTATATTCTTGTTTACTCACTAACCTTAAATTGCATTGCTGATAAGTGTTGTTTGCTTAAGAAATGCAATAGATAGAAGTAGAATTATCTGATTGATGAGACACATACTTTTTAACTGTGTATGAGACAATACATAAAATATTAACAGTAAAGTTTTCTTGCACTCTTTCTTGGCTCACTCATTGCTTTAAACAAAAATTGATCTTCCTCAAATGTATGTAGCTTTTTTACCAATAATAAGATGTATGTGACAGAAAATGTTAAACTTTTTTTACTGAGTATAATGTCTCATAATAATTGTCATGTTCTGAGATATGAACTTGGAATTAAAATATTTCTTTAGAAAGGAATTCAGTTACTTTATATATGTGAGAAAAATAGAGAGAAATCTCATTTCTTCAGTGAATCTCTAAGTATATAAAAACTATGTTACAAGAAATGTTCATTTATAAATGATTGTTATAAGAAACAGTTTTGCTTCAGACAATGTTTGAAGGCTTTGTAATAACATGCAGCCTATCAACTTATCAGGAAAGAATGAAATCATATTGACAAATGACAAAATATTTGTCTATTTATAACAGAATGGTGAATATGAGTGTCCATTTTGGTTGTCCCAGAAAAGCAAGCAGCTTCTTCACCGTTTATTGCAAGTGAACCCTAAACATCGTATAACTGTAACAGAACTTCTGACAGACCCATGGTTGATGGAAGGGTTTACAGAACCAGTCCTTTGGAAGAACCCCTTCAAGGTTGAGTCAAGTTTTTTCTTGTATACTTTTGTTGGTATACAAGTTTTATTTCTTGGTGTAAAGCTATGGTAATTAGAATGTTTTGTTAATATAACATTTAAAGACAACAAGGGACCATCTAGGTTGTTCCATCCACTAAACTAAATCATGCAAAAAATATTTTAAAAACAATCGAAAGCCAACCCTTATTACTCAAATATTTTATCAAACCTTCCTTTAAATTTACTGCTTCCACCACATCTGAAGGCAACCAATTCCAAAAGCCATCTACATTCTTCAAAGAATAAAACTGTGCTAACTGAAAATAACACCTACCCTGTGAAAATTTTATTTGTCTCCCTTAATCCTACCATTCCAACCATTTCATATGAAAAACGGTGATACAACAATGCTATCAATTCCATTAACAATCTTAAACATCTCAGTCAGATCCTCTCTAACTGTTGTTTTAAGAGAAAACAATTTCAGAGATCTTAACCTATTCTGATATGACAACGTTCCCATCCTAGGTATCATCCTAGTAGCCCTCTGCTGAACCCTGTTCAACAATTTAATGTCGTTACTAAGGTAAAGTGCCCAAGAATGAATACAAGACTCCAAATGTGGCCTAACCGACAATGAAATTGTAAAAATTATATCCAGTATTTCTGCAGATACAACCTAAAGTCCTATTTGCCCTACCATTATCAACAGCACATTGCTTTTGTTTGTAAATAATGTTTATTATCCATGCACATGATTAATTAGATCTGTAATATTTTAAAAGTTTAAATATTTGTGGAATTTTTGGTTTTCATCACTAAACTTTTACTTGAACTTTTTTATATAGAAACTTCAATGTTTCTTTTCCTTGCTTACAGACAAGTAAATTGGATGAAGAATGTCTGATTGAACTATCAATGTATTATGGGAAACCAAGAACTGTTATAGTAGAAGAAATAATGCAGGTAGTGGTACTTGCTTTCTTCTAATGAACATTATTAATTTTTATGTAACTTGCACCCTGATTTATATGGAGATGGAAAAAAATTACCTTTACCTTGTTTCTCAGAATTTTATGTATTCAAGATTTAAATTTGTATCATGAACCTTTCTGTTTTTTTCTTGGTGTTGGATAAAGAATTTTGCCATTTTGCTTCAATGTTTTAAAGCCTACCCAGTTAGCTCTATAGTCTTCCTTATTGGAGTTTTTGTTGTTTATTATTATAATTAATTAATTAATTTCAATAAATTAGAATTTTATCTACAAAGTGTCCATATGGGTTTTTCATAGTAAATATACTTGACCTAGTAGAATCACTACAGGAAATATGAATCTTTCAGTACTGATTATGTATTTAAGATAATTTCACTTGCTTATATCTATAGTTTTCTTGTGGAAAAACTTAGATATAGGCTGAGGATTTATTTGTAGTATGGAAGATTTGAAGCATGTACAGAAACTTGGACATTTTTTTATCAAAAAATTTATAGCTTATACAGATAATAAAGTAAAACAATAAATGTTAGGTAGCAGTAAAATTCAGCTGCTTGATTCTTTTCAGACCTAGCCATAACTATTGTTTATTTGAATTTTTGATAAGTATAATCTGACAAACATGTAACTGTATTGTAGGTTTTAAATATGAATTTGTAGGCTTGGTGTTGGTTTGGCTCTGTTTAAAAGACATTTCATATTTATCTGTGTTTCTGTTTTATCTTTACAGAGAAACTTCACATACATTTCAGCAACTTACAGTCTTTTACTCCAGAGAAAAGCAAAAGGCCAGAGAATTAGATTAGAATCAGACACCACACCTCTTCGAGAAATCAAAGTAAATAACTTGTGGTTCATCATTGAATTGAATGGTGTAGCTCTTAAAGGTTTAATCTTTATTGTGATGAATTATTTTCCTATATAGTTTTCTACATAATTAGTGTAAAGTGTAAACATGTAACTTTTTTATATGTTATCCAAAGGCTCTAGTAAGTTTTTTTTTAATGCAGAAATCATTCAAATTAAATTATTACAGTTACATATGAACTATAACCCGAAAAAAATATTTCTACCAAGAAAGTTCATATACAAATTGTCAGGCTAAACATGTTTTTTTATCTATAAGGTGATATTAATTTAAGTTAAAATCTCAAACATTTCTCTATAAGAATATGTATTCTTTGACCAGATATTAATACTTCTGTATGAAGATAGTTTCTTTTTCCAATGCTGTGAACATTTGTTGAACTGTTATAAATATGGCATATTAATTTTTCTATAGCCAATCAATAGAAGCCTTTACTCTGAGTTTGGAACTCAGAAATTATCAATGTCACCATCATTTCACTCATCAATGGACAGTGGTCTAAATGATGCAGACCTTTTGCTTCTTGGAAGTCCTAAAAAAGATGATGAGTCTGACAGTTTGGCTATAAAGCAGCCTCTACCACCCACTAAAACACGGCAGGAAGCTCAACAGCACAAGGACTCGGATAAGGAAAACTTTGTTCGGCCTCGAGTTCCAACACCCAGAAAACTAAACAAGAACCGAAGCCCACCAGCAAAGACAATAAAATGTGAAGGTAAATATAATATCTAGTATTTATTTGAATACAAAACTAGTCTTGATGTAGCAGATATGTTTTATAGAAAAAAGTTTGAATATAACCTGAAACTAAGGTTTTTTTAGAGAGACCTTCTGTTTGTTATGATTAAAATGATTTTATCACAGCATATACACATAACAAGAGATAAAAGTTTATTGGAAACATTCTCAGGACAGTGACTTGTTGGAGACAAAAGACATCTGCAATGCAATTTTTATGATCGTTTGGTTTGAAATCCAAAATCTTCAAATTAAGAGGAATGTGTAAAATGTGTACAGTGTAAGCAGTTTTTATCATAAATATTAGCCCTGCTAGATTCCAATGCTTCATGAACTTTCAGTGTTTGAACTTTAATTTGTAAATTCATCAACCTTACTCTACTCTGATGTATAAACATCCTATTGTCTAAAACGTATATCAGTGGTGGAGAATGATTGAGTTAATGCACCATTTCTTTGTGAAGTGTTGTAAGTTTTATAGTTGTTAAAGATATTTACAAAAATACTAAAAACAAGAAGAATTCAAATATCTAATGACATAAATTAGAGTTAAGGATATATTGAAATGCTAAACAAGAAATCCTAGTTATAACTGTTTTATCATTTTATACTATTCTGGATTGATATATTTTATATATTTAGTCATCAGGGTAATAAAATTCTGCAGGTACTACCTTTAGTTCCTGATATTAATTTTTAAAAAACGTATACGATTCACGATGTGTGGTCTCATTCAATTTTTAGTATTATGCTTAATTCATGAGATCATCCATATTAACAAATAAATTATACTTTTACTTCAGTGATATAATTGATGTTTCAGTGGGTATAGTATCTCTTTCTAATATCATTTAGAAATTGGAATTACATTTTAATTCTGAATATACTTTGAAAAAGTTTCTTTCGAAACTAAAAATACTATTTGTCATGTTTCCTTAAACCTCTTAAAGATCAATGGAATACATTTTAGTCATCTGATATGCTGTAATGCAGATTCTGTATTTGTTTTAAATCGTGAAATTTGATGCTCAGCTTTCTTCAGTCACAATATATGGTTATTTTTTAAAGGAAATGTAACATTGTAATTACTACCATCATTCCATTTTTTGTATCTTTTCTATATCTGTGTTACAGAGGGTTGAGTGTATTATATTAAAACCAATTTGAATATTCAGATGAAGTCATGTGACAACTATAGCCAATATAAAGCTGCTGTGAGACGGTATGTAGCAGAATTACATTTTTGATATCACTTTGCATTTTATAGTTTGTATGATGCCACCAAAATTGATCATTTTTGGAAAGAATATGTAATAGCCCTTTCCTATGCAAAATGTTCATACACCTGGATCATAAAGATGTGTTCAGATCAGGAATTAAGAATTTCAAAATCAAGAATATCCTTTGTACTTAATAGCATTGGAAAACAAAGGAATATGGATCAACATGAGACACCAGAATCATCCAGAAAGAGACCTTCAACAAGTCATATCTTAGCAGTGGTAAATAAAGTGCAGCATCTTGTAACTGGTGAGAGTCCACATACATAAAATTCAGTGGCAAAGTCTGCCCGTGTGCCCCAGAAAACAGAACACAACATAATCAAGAAGGATCTCCTTATGGAGATCTGCTAAACTTTTTCTTACCTCGGGTAGATGAAGAATGAAATCAATATTCATGCTATAGAGAAACAGATATATATATATATAGATCTGGAATGTAAATGTCATTTATCTGAACTTTTATCACGTGCTATTTCAAACAAAGACATGGATTACTGTGAGATCAGACTGTTGAAACAGACAATGGGAAACTGTCATCCTTGTACACTAGATGGATTATAGAAAGCAATCAAGGAACAGTAGTGTTTGTTGGATATGACTGCCTTATGACGGAGACTTTTATAATAGAAACTACACTATAGGGCTATTGTCAAAATGAATAGTTGTCAGACAGAGCATGATTAGATGTGGAAACATGGACTGAAATGACACTTGGATCATTTTAATATAACATACTTGACCTCTGTATAATTATTGAATGTGGGTAAGCAACTTCTTTTAAGAACTGCTAACCAGTTCTTCAAGATTTTTAAGGTTTATACTGTGCATTTAAATTTCTATTTTAGGCTGTTATAGTATAGAGAACGTTTTACTAAGAACATAATAATTGTAGAATTAGCTCATAGTAGTATTTCTGACCTATAAATCAAGGTGCTACATTAACAATTTACATCATTTGAAATAGTACTGTAAATGCATGAATTAATTTGGAAATATGGTTTAATTTTTGGGGGGTAAATTCATATAATACAATTAAATTACAAATTCAAAGAGTAATGCTGTTTTAAAAAATTTGAATTCTGGTTTACAAAGCTGTGAATCTAGGTTTCATATCCTATTTAAATGCTTATTGAATTTTTGTGCATAATCCTGTATGTGAAAGACACAGTATTAGAGAATTTTACTTTCATTTTTGATCTACAAAAGTCATTGTTGTATGAAAGTTTTGCTTCTTTAGTTTACAAAAAACAACACTGTTTTCTATTCTATACCAATCCACAATTAATTGTTTACTCAAACCTATTGATTATTTGCATCATTTAGTTCTAAAATTTTAATCGTATACTGAATACAATACTGAATCTACATATGAAATGACTTAAGTTTTATAAGGGAACACTTAACTGCTGAGTTGTATGAATTAATACAGTATGGTGCCTTGCATATTGTCTTTTATAATGATAGTAAGTCAACTATTAAGTATTTACAAGTATAACTTCTATCTAAATTTGCCGAATACATGAAATATTTGATTGTACTATTTTATTTTAATAGTGTTTTAAAAATATCATCAAAATGCCTATTCTATGCTTAGTTATTGGTAGAAGTCTTGTCATTTTTATCACATATACAGTGTTAAATTCTA